CTGCTTTTGATACGTTCCTTAAAATGTAAGGAATCAGATTGTTTAACCATTAGTTCCCCCCCCCCAAGTCCTACTACATTGCCTTGCTGCAGAGGGAAAAGCACTGGGAGGGAGGAATGAAGAACACTGGGAGTGTATCCAAGAGTATATACTCCTAGCAGGGTTACTGAAGGCATGAAGATCATTTCTGCTGCCCAGCTAAAGCAAGAATGCTGGAGGCGGATGATCACATTAGTGACAATGGCAAAGGCATCATTTCATTCTGCATGTGAGAAGGCAATGGTAAACCATCTTGTATTTACAAAAATCCCCACATGGATAGATAATATAAAGGGACAAGTGATACAATGCTGGATGATGGCTCCCTCAGGTTGGATAGCACTCAACATGCTACTGAAGAAGAGCTGAGGACCTTTTGGAGCACTAATGGTATTTATGGTATGGCTAGACAAAAGCCTTTGAGATGTCTAGTTGCTGATGTTGCAATTCAGGAAAAGAAAATCCAAAGCTGTAAGGACAGAATTACACTGTGAACATGGAACATGAACGTATGAAAGCTGAAGTCAGTGAAAGATGAAATGAATTGATTACACACTGACATTTTAGGCATCAGAAAACTGAAATGGACTGGAATGGGAACTTTCAATCAGAAGATCATACTGCTTACCACTCAGGATTTGAAAAATGGAAGGAATGGTATTGCTTTCATAGTCAGGAAGGAGAGATCAAAGGTAGTACTTGGATGCAGGTAGTCCATTTGTTCAGCGATCGTTCAAAGTTACGGTGGTGCTGAAAAAATTGACTTGTGACCAGTTGTTGAACTTATGACTGTTGCAGTGCCTTCATGGTCACGCGATAAAATTTGAGCCAGCTCGCATTTATGACTGCTCCACTGACCTCACTGCCACCCCCCCAGCTGACCTTCATCATCTTCACCTGTCTCCCCTCTGCTGGGCTCACCAGCCCAGTCACACACGGGGAGGTGCCACAGTTCTGGGGCTTTTTGCCGTGGCATGGCTCTGTGGCTTCTTGCCATGATGCGGCTCTGGGGCTGCTTGCACCATCATGCATCTTTCCCCATCTGGCAGCAGCCAACCCCAGCCCTGCTACAAAGGCCGCCTGTGTACCCTCCCACACTGTCCTTCAGCCCTGCTGTGCTCATGCTATGCCTTACCAGTCACCGGTGTGTCCTTGCACACACTTTCCCACCTCTCTGCGCTTGCAATTGGTTGGCCACTGTGTCATTCTCCAGATCTGCTGGCATAGCTTGAGTAGAACCTTGGCTGATTTTTCTTCTGTTGCTTGCCATATTTCAGTGGATATTCCATCAGTTCTTGTAGCTTTCTGACTTGGTAACACCTGGAATGCTGATCTAACTTCATCTTGTAGTACTAGAGGTTCTTGTAAGTAAGGAATATCCTCCAAAGTATCTTGGATGTTGACATGTCTACTGTATAGTGTTTCGGTATACTTTTTCCACCTTTCTTTGATCTCCTTTGAATCAGTTATTATCTGTCCATTGGCGTCCTTCAGCATACCAATCCGAGGTTGGAACCTTCTTCTGAGTTCAGAGATCTTTTGAAAGACTTTTCTTGTTTTTTCATGTTTGTTTCCTTAAGGTCTTTACAGATGTTGTTGTAATACTGCTTCTTGTCTCTTCTAACAGTTCTCTGAAACTCTTTGTTAAATTCCTTTCTGAGATTTTTGTCTTTCTTGGCTTTGGCTTCTCTTCTCCTCTTGGCAATTTCCAGAGTTTGTTCTGACATCCAGTTTGCTTTCTTCTCTTTCTTCATTTTTGGCAGTCTCTTTTCACATTCATCCTTAATGACTTCTTTAAATTAATTCTTTTCTTGTTTTTTCATGTTTGTTTCCTTAAGGTCTTTACAGATGTTGTTGTAATACTGCTTCTTGTCTCTTCTAACAGTTCTCTGAAACTCTTTGTTAAATTCCTTTCTGAGATTTTTGTCTTTCTTGGCTTTGGCTTCTCTTCTCCTCTTGGCAATTTCCAGAGTTTGTTCTGACATCCAGTTTGCTTTCTTCTCTTTCTTCATTTTTGGCAGTCTCTTTTCACATTCATCCTTAATGACTTCTTTAAATTAATTCCATAATTCCTCTGGTTCTCTATCAATGAGGTTCAGGACTTCAAAGCAATTCCTGGTGTTCTCCTTGAAAATGGTGGGTATATGTTCAAGATCATATTGTGGAAACTGACAGGCTTTCTTCTTCTTCTTTAGCTTAACTTGGAGCTTGCACATGAACAGTTTGTGATCTGTTCCACAGTCTTCTTCTTTAGCTTAACTTGGAGCTTGCACATGAACAGTTTGTGATCTGTTCCACAGTCAGCACCTGGCCATGTCTTTGATGGTATAATTGAGCTTCTCCACCTCCTTTTAGCAATAATATAGTCAATTTGATTTCTATGTACTCCATCTGGTGATGTCCATGCATAGAGTTGTTGTTTTGGTTGTTTGAAGCCAGTGTTTGCTATGAAGAAATCATTGGAGTGGCAGAAATTGATAAGCCGGTCTCCTGCTCCATTTCAGTTTCCTAAGCCATACAGTCGAATTACATTTTCCACTTTCATGTTTCCAACTTTGGCATTCCAGTCACCAATCCCAGGCAGCACATCTTGGTTGCATGTTCTGTCGATTTCAAATTGAACTTGATCATAGAAGTCATCAACCTCCTCTTTTTCTGCATCAATGGTTGGAACATAAACTTGAATGACTGTCATATTAAAGGGTTGTCCATGAAGTCTAATCAATATTATTCAGCCATTGATTGCATTGTAGCCAAGTACTGTTCTTGCTATACCCTTCCTAACTATAAAAGCAACACCATTTCTTCTTTGTTTTTCATGTCCTGAGTAATAAACAGTGTGATCTTCTACCTGAAAGTGTCCAGTCCCAGTCCATATCAATTCACTGATGCCTAAGATGTCAAGTTGTAGTTGTTTCATTTCAGTTTTCACTGTGTTGAGCTTTGCTGTGTTCATGCTTCTTACGTTCCACATTCCTACTGTAATTCTATCTTTGCAGCTTTTGATTTTCTTTTCCTGAATTGCAACATCAGCAACTAGACATCCTGAAGGCTTTAAACTAGCCACGTCATAAACACCATTAGTACTCCGAAAGATCCTCAGCTCTTCCTCAGTAGCATGTTGAGTGCCATCTGACCTGAGGGACCCATCATCTGGCACTATATCGTCAATCATATATATTTCTATCCATGTGGTTTTCTTGGTAAAAATACAGGAATGGTTTACCATTGCCTTCTCCTGCATAGTATGAATTGATGTCATTGCCATTGTCACTAAAGTGATAATCTGCCTCCAGCATCTTCCTATATTGCCCAATATAGGTACCTGGCTGCTTTAGCTGGACAGCTGGAATGACCTTCACACCTTGGGTGACCCTGCTGAGAGAATACACTCTTGGCATACACTTCCGACATTCTTCACTCATCCCTCCCAGAAAATCCCCTCCCCCACCACGATGAGGTAGCACAGCAGGACCTGGCCGGGGGGGGGGCGGGGGGCGGGTCTATTGCTTTAGAAGGAAGAAAAAATTAAGTTAAAAAACTAGTCCTTCAAATTAGATTATAATGGACCAGTTCCCAACAAATTGCTGCTTTAAACATGGGAGTGGGGGACTACATGAACAAAATATGATATAAATCAGGTTGTTTGGATTTTCTTTTTAGGGTGAAGATGTTCTTAAGAGATTTGAAAGTCTGCTCTCAAGGAATGTTTCTATGTTTATTGCAACAAGTGTGCCATCCAAGGCTAAGCAGTCAACTGATCTCAAAGTCTTGGAGAGCAAAGGTATTTTTTAAAAATTAAAGTAATTTTATCTTGTCTTAGTTATGAATATTTATATATCACAACATTTTGAAGACTAAGCAGTTTAAAATACACCAACGTGTAGGATTAAGATTAATAATAAGAACAATTTATGGCAAAATTACAGTCAGCCTGATGTGCCACCATCTCCGTGTAGTATGGTTTTACTTATGCCCAAATGGCTTTCTGAAGAGCCTTGTTCTCATGGCTTTTGGGAAACATCATAAAGAAGAGTGGGGCAGAGATCCATGGCAGGCTGTTCCAAAGGGGAGCCATCACTGAGGACAGACTTCTCCAACATAGCTACCAACTGAAAAAACAGTGTAACACTGAAACAAGCATGCACACCTGCAACATAGATAAACATGGCCAACAATTCAGCAGCTAGAGATATTCCCCAAACAGCCATAATTAATTGTGAATAGAGACAGAATAAAGAGAGCATTCTAAAGGTTAGGCACCTTTTTAAAAAGGCTGTCTTTTACATGTAAAAGTGAACTGAGACTTGGAGGTAACTTCCAAAGAAATAACAACACAAGGAGAGTCCTGCTGGACAAGCTTAAATCATCATCATCATCATCATCATCATCATCATCAGCAGCAGCAGCAGCAGCAGCAGCAGCAGCCAAGGCCCATTTTTGTCCAGCATTCTGTTTCCCCAGGTGGCCAAGCAGATGCCTCTGGAGTGCTCACAAACAGCAAATGTAGACATTCCCCTCTCTCACCATTTCCAATCTGTAACTGGTATTTGGAGACATGCTGCCCCCAATCCAGAGGTAACATCAAATCCTTGAGAGACTTGTCCTCCATGAACGTATTCAGTCTCTTTTTAAAGCCATCCATGTTAGTGGCTGCCCAAAGAAGTGTTTTCTTCTATCTGTATTAAACTTCAGCTTCATTGGAAGATTCCTGGTCCTAGTATTTTGAGAGGGAGAAAAACCTCTCCCTGTCCACTTTCTCCATGCCATGCATGAATTTACACACTTCGATTGTATTCTCACCTCTGAAACCTTTTCCAAACTAAAGAGACACAAACATAATGTTTTGTCATAGGGCAAGTTTGATCTTCTGAATCATTTTTGTTGCCCCTTCTGCCCTGTTTCCAGCTCTTGATTATGACTGATTATGTGCCATCGTCAGGATCAACTCATAGTCACCACATAGACAGATTTTCTCCATGATGATCTGTTCCTAACCTGGTACTCTAGATTTTCCAGCTTATATCCTTTTTTCTGATATAGCTTTAAGGGATTTATTTATTGATTACATTTCTAGACTGCTTCCTCTCAGTCAGGCCAGTCCTTATGTTGACATTTTTATTTTCAACCCCTTTCCTAATGATCCCTAGCATGGAATTTGCCTTTTTCACAGCTGCTACGCACAGAAGCTACATCTTCAATTAACTATCAAATGGTTAGTTACAGACAATTCAGACCCCACTGGTATCGTGTGAAGTTGAGGAAGGTTGACCCAGTGTATATTAGTTTACTTATTCGAATTGAATCACATTGTCTTTGGATTGACCTAGTTTAAAGAGATCCCTCTGGAGCTCTTCATAGTCACTTTAGGCTTTTATTATCCTCAACAATTTAGTATCATCCACTGCTTATCTCCAAGTCAAGATAATTTATGAGCATGTTACAAAGCATCAGTTCCAACACAGATCTTACATGAACTTTTTTCACCATTCTTTTTATTTCTTTTTTTATAATAAGAATAATTAATATAAGAGGACACTAGTCAGATAGACAAGGCAGAAAATCCAAAATATAACAAGGGACTAGGAAGTAGACAAAAACTTTCTCAGGCACTGGGTGCCACGCCTATACTTGCATACAGACAACCACACAACTTGAAGCAGATTCTTACAACAACAGGACAATAATGCTAACATGGGAACCAGATGCTGCAACAAACCCATATGTCTACTTTGACCCCATATCTACACCAACAGCACCATCACAGGCCTCAAGAAGTATATGCACAAGGTTAGAGGCATCTTCACCTGCTCTTCCTCTAATGTGATATATGCTATCAATTGCCCTCTGGATTATATGCAGGACAACTTTATGCAAAGGAATTAATGGACACGAATTTGACATCAGGACTTGAAAGAAGAACAACTTGGTATCAGAGCATTTCAACCTTCTAGGACACTCCATAGCAGAGTACTCCCATTGGAAAAAAAGAGATTTTAACACTCCACTATTGAGTAAGACATTGCTGAACTCATACACACAAAAGGTTTCAGGCAAACTCTAGCAAACACAATACACTGGGGTTCTCTGAGCTTGGTTCTTTTCTTGCAAATATTTCATTACCCTGCTAGGTAACATCTTCAGTGCTAGAATGGGATGGGGTTTGCTCTCTGTTTATATACTGTGGCATGCCCTGCCAGTGTTGGTGGGGTTTTTGTTTTGTTCCTTTGGTAATTCCTTGATTAGGGTATTGTTCCCTGCTTGATTGTGTGGCTGGTGGTAACCTCTGCTTATCTGGGTGATGACTGCTGGTGAGGAGATGTACTAGATGAACTAGAGAAGACACATGAAACCATCAACAACATCTTCAAATGAATAAAATTCACCAGAAAGGAAGAAAACAACAACATGCTACCCTTCCTGGATATCCTCATCGGCATAAGAAACAACAGTAAATTAGAAACCCAAGT